AAGTTCTGTTTTCCTCCTTGAATAGAGTTGTGAGATTAACAATAAGTCATGAAACCATCAAATTAAGCATTGTTGCTCAATGAATTCTAAAGAAACTAACAATAAAGAAATTTTAATGGCTCTTGTTTCAGGGTGTTTGTAATACATTTAAAATATTTAATAGAAAATTTCCAAGTAAAACAAAATTTGTTATGATTGCATTTGACTTGAATATTGAAAATTTAAATTTATCATCAATTTAAATTATATTAAAAACGTAAATTATTTTTTTGAAACAGGTTAGAAATAAAGTTATATCAACTTATTGTTATATAAGTAAATTAAACATGACAGCCTCACCAAGAGTGTCGTTCAAACAGGACATTCACGTGCGCATTAGTGCAGGAGCGGCCACGTTTACGCATTCAAATCTCGCTTTGCATTCGTTGGTCCGAGTTGCCTGCAAATCCAGCGAGTATTTATGTAAATGAGCGGATGAATTGCGCCGTACCAATGATTGCCGCTCGGCTCATTGAGCCGCACACGGCCGGCACATGAAAATGTAATTTATTCTTGAGCAGCGACAGATTATGATATTTACCTAGGGCTTTGGAGACGCGCGCGACGAGTCCTGCCGACGTATAATGCCGCCTCATTAAGGAGTGCAAAACTCGGCGCGCGCTTTTCACTCGGCCGCATTCAAATTGCACAATGGTCACCAACGTGTGCTGTGCTTGAGCGAGTCTCAAAACCCACAGCTGTCCTTGAGTCGACGTGCAACCACACACACACACTCACACACAACCGACCAAATTACACACTTGCGCGACTAGTCTATTTTGCTTGTCCGGAAAATGTACACATTTGCAAGGGTGAAGTTTATGATTATTGTTTGCTTGGGGGTAATAAATGTCTACATTACAAATTTTAAATGAAATTTAATTCATTTTAGACATGAATGAATTCAGTCCGTTTAGAAACTATCAACAATTTCAAAAACTGTAAAAGATAATTTAGATATTTTAAATCATTTAGAGTTGAAAAGAAGATTCAATGAAATAGAAAATATTTTATTTTAAAACGAGAAAATATTTTTTATTCTTATTTTAATATAAATTATATTAAAAATATTAATTTTGTGGTGCTGTGATGTAGATCTTTATAATAATCATAAACTTTTTCAGTTTATATCCCTGATCATTCTTGAGTTTTATTTAGTTTTCAATTTTCAGATATTTTTTCCGCTGAATAAAAAAAAGAAATCGCACGCTCCACATTTTTACTAAAAATATGTAAATAAGACCTCATCCACCATGGGCTTCCCTCTCTAACCCCTCTTCCGCACCGCGTTAAGTAAAACCGCGGCGCCAGAAGTTTCCGCGGCTTTTTTTGCATATTTCAAATTATGGAGGAGCACCCCCGTGCGTGTATGTATTCACACATGGCCGTCGTCGTTGTTTCGAAGCAGGAAGGGTCCTTTTTATGGCCTCAACGTTATCATGCACAAAAAGATCGCCGCCTGCCGAGTGCAGAAAATCTGGCAATTGCATTACACGCTTGGCACGCCCCTCCAGTGTGAGAGTGAATTATTCAAAGCGGCAGTGTGGCTAATTAGCGAGATAAAAATTATGTAATGTAGGAACAAAGATCGTCAAAGATATAACTATGGGAGACATAATGGTTACAGCTGGTCGGACGACGGAGGGAGAGAGATGGGAAACTAAGGGTTGAAAACTTTTGTTGCAATAACCTCCGGAAAGATTTATTCCGTCTGGCAGATATGAATAAATTTATTAACTTTTTCAACTTACATTTAAAGTTAAATTAAATTTCATACTTTAAACCTCCAATTTGATTAAAAATAAAAAAATAAAAAATAAAAATAGCAAAATTTATTGGTGAAAGTTAGAAAAATATTTGCCTTTGCCGTTAGTTACCTCTGAGTTGTGCACACAATTGTGGTCATTGGTCACCGCGGGCCGCCGAGTGCGTGTCCACGCAGATAAACTCGCGATTCGTTCAAGACGAATAGGCAAGTTCTCCTTTATGCTAATGAGACTTGAGGTAAGCCCTCGACCGAGCCAGCGAACGGCCACTTGCGGAGCAAACCACTTGAAAACAGCCCTCGCTCGCAAAATGACAGACAGTGTGCGGGCGGTGGGTGAAGGCTTTCAATGCCGCCAACCGGACCTCTGAAGAGCAAAGCTTTCAAAATCGAGCGGTTGTCATAAGAAAAGAGACCGTTTTTCAATGGCGGATTATTATTTGTTGTCGAGATTTGTGTCGCACTGCGGGGTTTTTGCCGCGGAAGAAAAATGTTTAGCTGAAGGCTTTCAGGAAAAAAAAAATTCAGGAAGGCCTCACTGAAAATAATTTTACATAATATAAATTTCTGAAAAAATGTCTTCCAAAAGGACCCACAAAAATAAAACAAAAATGAGAGCATTTCTTACTATTTATTATTTGCAAAATATAATATTAGTTCTTTGTAAAGGTTTAAATTATTTGTTTAAATTCTTGATATTCTTTGAGATTATTATTTCAATAAATTCCTATCAGATAAATTGCTTTAAAGATATAATTAAATTTAAATTTTTAGAACTAATTATTTTAGGAAAATTGCTAAAATAAACCTTAATTTAATAAAAAAAAGAAGAAAATAAATGCCAAATAGGCTTAATTTAATCACAAGTATATAAAATGCCAGATGTTGCATTGAATGAAAGCAAATGGAATCCTTTCCGCAATTGGCAATTTATGCGCTCGACAGTCCCATTCGTCACATTTAGAGCGCGTTGTTTGCCCTCGTAATGGCGAGCACACACCCAGAGAGTGCTGCCGAGCAATTCCAATACAGAACGAGATTATTTGCAGAATAAACATACAGCCTGAAAAGTTGCGCATGAAATAGTGCCTTCGGCGGCGGTGGAAATCATCAGCAACGGAATTCGAGAGGGCTTTTGCACGTAATAATGTTTATTCGGCCAATATTGTGAATTTAGTGGCAGTAGGGCGAGGTGTCAGGCGCACAACATATTGCTGCTCGTTTTTCGGGCCTGCGCTCCGATGATGATAACGCGATAACAATGAAACTTTATATGTTTCGCTTAATGTTGCAGGCGCGCACAAAAGTAAACAGTATATCGCCAGCAATTCCTTTTTATTCGCCCCGCCGCCTCGCGTTCTAACTTCATCACAATCAACGCCCCCGACCTTTTTCGACCGTGCACGACGCGGGGGAGTGAAACGCTTTTATTTAGATCGTGACCTTCTTTTCAAGCTCTCATGGCAGTGCGTGTGCAGATATTTGTCAGACCCCCGCGAGCAAATATCCGAATAGATATCAAAATGCTGCGATCCCTATACATGGGTTTCCTCTTATTGTTATTTTTATTTAGAGTTGCAAAATAGTATTTATTGATTGAGGTAATTTTTTTAGATTAGGGCAGTCTCTTATCAGCCTGTGCCCTTTTCTGAAAAATAATCGCTTCCATCTTTTTATTTTTATTTTTGTATCATTTTAATTTTTGAAACGCACTGTGAAACAAATACTTCTATTTTCAGCCTTCAAACTGTTCAATCGAAGGCTTTCATTTTATTTTTTTAATTTTTGACCAAATTTCACTATAGTAAGCGGTGAAAATTAAATGCTGAAATTTTTGTTTTTGTTTTTATAAGTGTTTTTTGATAAATACTATTGAGATTAAAATTTGTTAAATCTTAGCCACAGAGATTAAGAATTAAAATATTATTTGTAAGTATAACTGATGGCAATAATTAGACGAATAAACAACGATAATAGTAACTGTCAAAACTTCCAGATTCTTGGCACTTTTCAATACAGATGCAGTGGGGGCATAATATTGATAAATATTTACATAAAAAAAATTTAATTTTTATAAATTGTTCACTAAGTTAAGAATTCCTCTCTCATTCACGGATCTTTTTAAATTGATCAAAAAAATAAGTTCAATCTGTTTTTTTTTTTTTTTTTTTTTTTTTTAATTATTTTCATATTGATTTACTAGTCTCTTTTATTAGAGCGCCACGCCACCAAAGCCATGCACCAACTATTGGAGTGTGGTGGCGGCTTATGACAAATCAGCGAACATAATCACTTGGCCATATCGCACGCGCCATTTGGTCATTTTTATCGGAATCATTTCCACTTGATTTATCAATTACCGGACTCGTCAGAGCGAACATCAGCTCACAGCTAGTGGCTCAAGTGGATCTCTAATTCAGTTACAAATGCACTTGGCGTTATGGAGTGTGCGGTTGGCCGGCAGCTCCTCTGCGAGGTGTGTGTGTGTGTGTAATAGAGATAACACCGGCATTATGCATGCACACAATGCTGTTTATCTGCCGCTCGTCGGTGTACGCCGGGGCCGAAAGGTCAAAGCCTCTGCTCCGACAGGCACCGATGGACCGCATTCGAGAACAGCCAGGCACCAGATTGGCCGCTCCACTGCGCCACTCGGCATGTGTGCCTGCTCGGCTGGTTGCCTATATGCCGCGTGCGAAATTTCGCTCTGCTTCCGTCACAAAAGCCTCTCCGCAAGCTGCTCGCTGTCTAGCCGGAATGTGAAGATTCGGCCTTGTTTTTTGAGCTCCCCACCTTCCTAATCCGCTTGGCCCAAATATGTTGCAAGTTTTGACAGGGAAAGGGGTTCGAGAGAGAAATATGTACATTGCAACTAACCAGTACTCTAGTTGAGATGTTGATGAGAGTTAAATCAAAATTTTATCATAAATCCAAGAAAAAAATCTAGGTTATGAAGATATTATGAGAAATGATGCTTATTTTGTTTCTTACTGTATACTTTTTTAATAATAGAGAAATTTACTGCATAAAAATTTTTTTAAATTTTCAATGTTTATAAATTATTTTACGACATATTAAAAAAAAATACCTGAAGATCTGATGCACAGATATAAATTAAAGTCTTCATTGAGTGAAAAATTGAATTTTCTTTTATATTATCTGCATTCTTATCTCATGCTTTTACATCTTGTTCCAGATTGGCTGTAATCCTCAACGTCTGCATCATTGGAATGGAACTCTCAAACACTCCAAGGTGAGTTAAGCCAACGCCAAATTGATTTATTCTATAAGAACGAGCGGCAAGGGGACGCACTTAAAATTGACTTTTCAAAGTTTTTTCCACCTCGTGAGCGGGCCTCTTTTCTTTGTTAAATGCGCCGCTATACATCTTGCTTAGGGAAAAAGTCGCCGGCAGCTCCGGAATTTCGCGCGTCGATCCATCAACATTCAGCTCTTAAATCCTCAGCTCGCCAAGTCAATTAGTCGCGGCGGTGCCGAAATAGGAAAGGCTGAGGAGGAAAGCCGTCGGAAAGTTGTTGGTGCCGCTTTTCGCGCGTAAACGCCCTTTTAGATCAAAATGTCACGCGCTGATTAAAAGTTAAAAGTTGGTAATAATCAAGGAGCGCGCTGCAAAGTTGGCCGAAATAAAAAGGCGCTTTTTGTGCCCAGCAAAAGAAGAGAGGACAAATTTTTGCACCCCTTCGCGAAGCACGCAGACTGCGTGTTCGCTGCCTAATTTTATCTTTCGGGTCCGCCGCGCAAGAGTTGTTCCCTAACTAGCAGCATCAAACGCGTGCTGAATGTGCTACGTGGCGGGCTAAATAGGCGCCGACCGAGTCGCGCCCTCCGCATACTAATCAGCCGACGCATAATGACTCCGAAACGGAGAGAGATAGATATAGAGATGGACCCGCCGTTTGTTTTGGCTTGCGCTGCTCAGTTGCCCGGTGTATTCCATTCCGTGTCACTTTGCGGTCCTATCGTTCCAGACGTGACTGGTCAACAAACCCGAATTTCTTGTTCCCAACTAAAATTTTTTAGTAAAGGTTCGGTAACGTAATTCAGAAATTTTCAGTGAATAACCAACAGATAATTCAATTATGTCTAATTATTGTTCTTTTTTTAATTCTCCTATTTTTTCTTAAATGTGGCCACTTTTGCTACGGTTAGAGCTTCAAAAGAGTACCATTTAATTAAAAAGAAAGCAGTGAAATAATTCAAGTTTTAAATCATTCAGTAGAGGCTCTATGAGGCGGATGGGGTCTTTTTGATCTTGGAAGGTTTAGCAAAATTCTTGCAAGTGGTGGTGCCGTTTGGTTCAACAATTCCTTTTTTTTTTTCAAATTAATTGTTTTCAATAATTGAATGTAAATAACAAGATGTAATAATTTGGACAAGTAAACATCAATAATAATAATTTAAATAAAAATTAATTGAAAACCTAATTCAAAATTTAAATTATAGATAAAATGATATGTGAACTAAATTTAGCACCTGGCAATATCTTACAATTAATCAATAGATTTGAAATTTATCACTGTCATCAATAATCATGTTGATCTTAACCATAATGATTGGTTTAACTTCAAAGTGTAAACAACCCCCTTGCCACATACCACGGAAGCATAATTCTCTTCCTTTAAGTCGATGGAAGACTTTTGAGTGTCTGGCGTGCGGAAGGAATCGGAGTTCGTGTGCCGCAAGAGGGGGTTTAATTACCGCGCGCAAGTGTGCCACTCAGGGGTGTAATGATGGTAAAATGACATCAAAGGCGAGAATTCGGCCGGCATCATTAAGCTGATTAATTATCGAACGGTGACAATTTAGCAAAGCCGCCGAAAATTGCTCGGTAGCGCCCCACTTTGCATTGGATAACCACTCCGCACACGCATTTAGGGATATCGTAATGAATAGGCTCTCGCAAATACACATTTTGAAATATTGAAGCATTCCTGTTGCGTGAAAGCAAAAGCAGGGAAGTGCGTGGTTTTGAGCGCTTTGCGCTTTTGAGTTTGCCGCACTGATAGTTCTCAAAGTGGCTTTGATTTCAAACTGGAGTTTTCTGCTCTGGCCCAATTCTACTGGGACAGCCACAGACAAAATTAAAAAAGATTTAATTTTATGAATAACAAGTCTTTAAAAATTTAATCCGTACAATAGAAAAGTTTCTGATTTCCGAGAAATGCCCATTTAAAATATAACGACCCAAGATGGCAGTGAAATGATTAAATTCATACAATTTTGATATATAAATTTATCGTTCTTGTTCCATATTGCTTTTATGTACTTTTATTGGACGCTCGGTCGACGTGATAAAAACTTTCCCATATAATATGAGAAAAGTAGAAATTGACTTCTATGTCACCTGGCAACAACAGAAGCAAAGTTCATACGTCGACTGACACAGTGGTACCGCAATGTACCAGGCCGACTGAGCTCCGGGAGGCCTCGAGCATTGACTTGACCTTCCGCACCCAGCCAGGCTGTAATGGCAAAGTTGAAGAGGGCGCTCTGACGTGACGCGCGAACAACAACTTTGAAGAGGTTTTTTTTATCAAATGACATTATACGATCAATCAACCCTACAGTGAGAAATGAAAAGTTACGGAAATTATTATAATTTTTTTTGTAAACATAAATATTTTCAGCATATTTTAAACACCTTTTAAACACCAAAATATTAATTTTGTACGAAAAATCATTTTCGCGAAACGTCACACGTCACAATGTGCTAAAACTGACTTTATGTATTTCGTGTATCCCTTCTGACACTCCCTGACACGATATGTAGCATCTCGCGAGTAAATAACGTGCAAAAGCAATAAAATGCGGCCGCGAGCAGGCAGGAAATCCAGCCGAGCGCACTGGCGTGTTTTTATCATCATCAAAACCGCCATTGCCGCAGTAGTCATACAATATATCGTGTTGACAATAGCGGCAGTATTTCGCGGGCAAATCTCAGGTGCGCAGTGCCGGCTTCGGGCGAAAATGGATGGATCTCGCGGGAAACGAGACAGGCAAGCCTGCTTATTGAGAAATGTTGCCGAATTCATCGCGGCGGCTGCGGTGTTAATAATTGAAATTGAATACAATGGGTAATGAAGATGAACATCTGAGAAGATTTCCCACGTGGGCGTTACAAAAAATAGCACTCATTTTTTATTCGAGAGATTTTTCCGTAAGCACAAAATGAAAAGCACAAGAATCAAAAGTCCCTTCGAGCACTATCGTATTTTCTTCTCTTTCGCGGCGATTTGCTCTTTTATTGACCCTCGAGACCGTCTGAGAGCGGAATTATTTCTAGTTAGAACGCCTCTTACAATTAGTTTCGCATGGCGTTGAATGCCATTCGATTAAACAAATGATTGCGGATTTTTGAGTTGCTGCTTTGAATGTATCTCGTTACTCTCTAGACTCGTTATCGTTGCTTTTGAAGTAGATTCAATGATTCCAATTGAAAAAATCAGGTTGAAGTTGAGAGTTTTATTTTTTAGTATTTGCTATAAAAAAAACTAAGATATTCCTGTTAACAATATTTTTTTTTATTATTTTCATAGGAAAATTAGAGGGAGTTCATAAATTAAGTTGTGGTGTTAATTAAAATTTTTGTATATTTTCTTGTAATAATCACCATGACCGAAATAGATGAAATTAAAATATATTCATTTTATTTTTTATTTTTCTCCTATACAAAAATAGAACTTCGTTAAAAATGATGTTAATGTACTTGTTTGCTACCATTTATATTTTTATTTTTGTGGACTGATGCATATTTTTTCTCTTAATCCATTACGTGAAACGCCTCTGTAGCCCTTTTGATGTGCAATTTCATTTTTCATTCAGTCGTGCGAGTTTTAATCACTTGATGCGCTCGCCAGCGGCTGGCATCACTTTTTTCTACCATGCAGAAGCAATTTAAATTCCCACTTGGATGCACCGTGCAGTGATTAAACAAATTTAATAGCACACCACAGTCTGTATTTTTTTGCACCTGCACTTCATTTTATATTTCTTTCCTCTCTGGTTGATAGAAATAAACGGCATTTGCAGATAAGTGCTTCAAATTCTCGCTTCAAAAATTGACAAAAATCTTAGTCTTCGCCGAACTCGCAATCAAGTGAAAGCATTCCTTTCGATTTGTCAATCCTTTCTTCGCAGCAGTATTTATTTGCCACACACAGAAAAAAGCCTTTATTGAAAGCGACAAGCTTGCTGCGGTTGACGTTTTTTGCTCTCCATTTTTAAGCAACGCATCGATCTCTTCAATACACATAAACATCCCCTTTTTTCAATTAAAATTGCCACAATGGATGAAAGACGGCAAAAAAGCTACGGCAGCGCGCGCTTCGCATTTGTCATTTTAATGAAGGAAGCTTTGGTGCGATCGCACAAAAAGAACACGTTCGCCCTGCTTCGAAATAATTACTATGGTGAAAATCGATGGCATGCTTTGGAGGCTCTTTTAAAAATTTCCATCAAGGGCGCGGAAAGTTGGTTGGTTCTTCCTGGGATGAACAAGCGTTCTTAGAAACAGTGATTGATTTTTACTGCAAATATCTATAAACAAGCTAAAAAAGAATTATTTTAATTTCATGAAAATTTAATTCATTTATCAGAGAGTCAATGCGATTTGACCGAATTTGATTGGTTGATCAGTCACACCAATCATTGTAATAATTTAAAAATTTTGAATAGTTTTACAATTTTATCGAATTATTTGTGTCAAATCTATGAAATACATAAATTAATTAACATAAAGAACAAAAAATATAGATCCATTCTTGTTTCCTGTTTCTTGCTTTCGCATAGAGTTCGAAAATCGAAAACTCGATCGCATTTGACGAAAAAAAATTGGAGCAGCAGTTGTTGCGCTGCGAGCAAAACTGCTGAGTCAGGTGTACTGCTCTGCAGCAGGAATTTTTGGCTTTTCGGCAAAAAGGTCCGTTTCGGGAGAGGTGCACGCTTCACTTTTGAAGTGGGGCGCCTGCCGTCATCGCGCGCGCCGGCTGAGAGTGATGGCTCCGAATCGAACCAACTTTTCCCATTTCTCATGCACTGCGGCCGAAAGGGTTGCTTTGCTGCTGCGTGTGTGTGCAGATAAATATGACCTGCGGAGCCAACCAAGCAAAAAGAGGCGGAAGAAAATGTCTACTGCATTGGAGTCGATCGCGAGCTGATTTCAGCACAATTCCGCCGTGCCGAGTCACTTAGGCCGCTGCCGTGCGTGTCGACCGCGCTTTTTGCCAAAAGCCAATGCGAAAAGTCGCCGGCGAGGACGATTTTCTTCGCGAGGCAAAAAAGTGGTGCCTAACTTCTGCAGCATTACTCTAATGTTTTTATGGCTCTTATTCCAAAAAATAATAATTACTTCTACCTAAATAATCAAACCATTTTGATGCACAATAAATATATTTAATAATTACCCAATGTTAACCAAGGTATCATAATTAAAGACAAAAGTAATATTTAATAATAAAGTAAAATATCAAATCATGTAGTTCATAAAGGATTCTAAAACAAAAACCATTTATTTATTCCTATCTCCCAGAGTGTACAAAAAACAGATCTAAAATTTAATCAACAATTTTAGTGTGCTTTTATCAATGCAATTTTGACCATTTTGTTTTATTTAATTTTAATACCAATTATTTAGAAATGAAAAACGATGAATGGACTTGGCAGATGTCAACAAGAGGTTTCTTTCCCGCAATAATTTAATTTTCCCTTTTTGTTATCTGTGCACACTAGAAAAGGTTTTTAATAAGCCTTTGGCAAGATATTTTCATGAAAAGTCGTTCCAACTATATCTTTTTCATAACAGACCTCGGGATGTCGCTAATTTTTTTTTTTTTTTTTTAGTATGATGTGCTTCTTTCAACGTGCATTAAAAGAACGGGGAAGCGTGAAAAATTCAAGCTGTAATATAAGCTGTTTTCTCCACGAGCTGAAGTTCGTGGAAATTTTCTTCAAAGAAGCCTGGAATTTCTACCAATTTTGTTTTGAAAAGAAAAATTTGCAAAGTTTTATATTTTAATTTGATACTTTGAAAAAATTTATTGTATATTGGCCATGAAGAGCTTACACTCAAGTCTAAGGCTTACACTCATGCGTAATCCATCCAAATCCATTTGAAAGAGCGTAGAAAATTGTATTTATTTATGAAAACTTTTTAAAATAATTGCCCGTTCATTAGTTCGCTTACTTAAATTTAGATTGATTGCCTGGCTTTAACAAATTTAATGTAAACAGTCATTTGAAAAGGATATTATACGACACGCCCCTAAAAAGCCTGGCAGTCTTTTTCCTTGCCACTGCAATTATACTGAATATGTATTCAGAATTAATTAATTTTTTAATAGGGAAAAATTAATCCTCGCCAGCCGTCTCTTTTTGCTGCCTCTTTTTCGCACAGCGAGTCAAATCTTTCTTCTGCCGCCGCAGGCATTGTCCGCGCCTGCATTTATTATCTCGTGCCAGGCAGCCCTCCCAGAAGGGATTTTTCTTTCTCCATTCTCTATTGTTTCATATTACGATATTTCGCCACAACAAACTTTTATAATTAAAAGTGAAATATAATATATACATTCGCGGATGGCCCTTTCCTCTGGCGCACATAACGAGACTTGAAACAAAAGAGGCGTAAGTGCCCATTGTCAGTTAATTTCAGTCATTTACTCGGTGATTGCGCTTGAAATTGACGCAGAGTGCTTGTCGCAGGAAAAATGCTTCAGGCAAAAACTATTAATGAATTGGCAATTGTGATTTGAAAAGGCAGGAGAACAATTGTGTTTCTGTATTGTTGTCGTTACATGTTGATCAGGTCATTATCAGAATTCTATTGCCATAAATCATAAGCTGGCAAACAGAATTAATTAATTATTTTCTTCATGAAAGAAATGAGGTGAAAGGGCTATTAAAATTGTTTTGTATCTTCTCTTTTTCTCTTTTTTTTTAAATGTCCAAAATATTTATATAATATGTTAAATTTTCAAACTAGATGGTCCTAAATTATTTCTCCTCTTATCTCCATTGTATTTGGTTTAAGAATCACTGCTGCAGCTGCTTATGCATAGTCACTGCAGATAGCGTGTAATTAATTGTCAGCGTGGAAGCCCAACAACCGCCTTTCTAAAAAAGGAACAACCGCCAAGCACAGACAACCGACCACCTACGAGCTCTTTTTTATCTCTGCAAATCTGCCGTAATTATATAAATACCCTCTGTGCCGCCTCAAAATCCGGCCCGTGGGAGTAATCGGCAGTGACGGGCCTTTTTTATTCACTAATTTTACACACGTTGCTTTGAATCCTCAACTGTTACTGACGCGAACCTCTCTTTTTGAGCCTCCTCAGAAAAATCAGGAATCTTCAGAAATATTTACAAAATTATTACAGATAAATCTCGCGCTTTCAAATGTGTATTCTATTAGATTAATAGTTTATATTGAAAATCAAATTTTAAAAAGAAAATGTTTTTACGTCAATCATCAATCAAAAAATAAAATATTATGAACTCTATGAAAATTTATTTTACAATGATTGATGCAAGATTATTGCTTATTTCAATATATGTAGTTGCCGGTAGTTGCGGATTTAAAGATTCATTAAATAAAAAATAAAATGATAGAAATGAAAATATATTTTACAAAAAATTTTTATGAAGACTTAAACAATATTTATTTTGGTCCTGATTTTTATTATGTTTATCCAGTATTTCCTCGTTCGCTCAGAAACCTGGAGATTATTTTGGCAGATAAAAGCGTCATAAAAGTTAATTGAACGTCCAGGAATAACGAGAGCGACCGGCGCGCGCACACTGCACAAAGAAGATAAAAACGAGACACAAGATTGCCCAGGGGAAGTTTCTTTCGCATTGATTTGGCGACGGCAAATTTTTCGAGCCAAAGACCCTGGTGGCTCAGTTATTTTTTTGCTCCTCCTCCGACGGCTCAATTATAAACTGACGCTCTATTAAGCCGACGAAACTCCTTTGTCACCCTCCATCAGATCTCGTCATTAATCATTTAGGCGGCCGCGCTGGTATTTCTTTCTATTACGTGGCGCAATTCGGTCGAAAAAGAGCCTTTTCAGCAGCATTTTCGCCCTGGCGGCAGAATCTCTCTCGCGGCATTATATTGTTATCGAGATGCACCCCGACCGGGAATCGAAATCGGCTTTTATTGAATGGAACCGTACGGAGAGAGATGATGATTCCTCTTGTTCGGTCCGTCGATCGATATGCTCCGTGCCGTACTTAACCCTTTATTCGAGGATAAGTACTTTTGATTCCTCCCTTTTCCCGTCCGCTGCTGCTGCGGTGGTGGATCTATCACTCATTCATATGGAGTGAGAGAAGCGATGAAAACTTCGAGAAGGAAAAAAGACGGCATTTTTTTTCTCTATTCTTTCTCAGTCGGGCTTATTGTGTGCTTCTCATTTTTATTTTCGCTCCCCTTTCAAGAATCGGCCCGACCGAGATTTCCTTGCTAGAATTTTTATAGGGGCTGCCAATCGTAAAAGACTTTTGGATTTCGAGGCCTTTTCTTTTTATTTCATCGCGCCCTTGCTTTCTCTCTCTCACTCTCGCGAGAAATGTGAGTGAGAAAGAGAGATGCTGGTTGCGAAAGCGGAAAATGTCGAGTCATTGGCCGCGATTGCACTCAGCTCTGCTCTTTCCTCCAGAAGTCGACGGCTTTTGATTGAAGCGAGGCGCCGACTTTTCACCTGAGGGGAGCCATTTTCACTTGTTGCCGCCACAGCGAATTTGTTTCATACCCGTTCTGTGAGAATTGGGGGCTGATAGACTTTCCACTTTACCCAATGCCACTTACTTACGTTCTTCCTCCGAAAATGTGCCTCTTCGCTTCATCTCTCTTAAATGTCAAAAGTCGCACAGATTTTGTATGAAGAGTTTCTTCCTTGAAAGAATCCTGCAGATATTGTAAAGGTTTAAATGTTAAGATTTTTTTCTATTTTATTTATAAAAGAGAAATACACAAATTATGTTACTTTTCTTCTCATTGAAGATTTTTAAAAACTTCCCCGTCATTGGAAATTGGCTTTAAATTTCTTTATATTTATCAAGACGAGCCTATGAAAAAATTCAATAATTTGCAGAAAATTCATACGAAAGTAAAATTAATTATCAATAATGCTCAAAATTTCATATTTTTATAGGAATTTGTGTAAAAAAATACATATTGAATTTGAAATTATTCTGTAAAATAAGTTTTATAACTGAAAATACATCAAATATTTGTCCAATTTAGATAATTTACAAAATTTCATAAAAAAAATGTTAAAAATTTATCCAAATTATAATTGTGTGGTTGGAAATGTTTGTTTCAGGTTCGCGCACGCGGACTGGGCCCGATAGGGGCCTCGCCAGGGTGCCATGACCAGTCTGCTGGACAACCTGGACTGCAGTAGCGACAGCGAGGACATCAACCGGTTGTTCCCGAAGTGCCGCAGCGGCGGCAGCACGCTGAGCGCTGTCGGCGGCGTCGGCGTCGGCGCCACCGGCAACAAACTCCAGAGTAACCCTGACGTGAACCTGAACACGCTGCACGATGACTGCAACGATAACCGCGTGCTTTCGCTGGTGATGAGCGGCGGCACCGACGAGCACGACCTGGCGCCGCCAAACGCGGCGCCGCCCTCCAACCTCAACGGCCTCGTTGACGCTGACGACGAGGAGACCGAAGAGGAGGACGACGACATGCAGGACGAGTCGCCGACCGCCTCTGGCGGCGGCTCGCCGCCCTCCTCCTCCTCCGCTGCGATTGCCGCCGAGGTGCCCAACGGACGCATCAAGTACCTCCGCGACTCACGCATCGAGATCGCGGGTGGACGAGAACTCTACTCGCAGAGCAAGAGCAAGGCCGGACGCGCCAAACGCTTCAACCAGGACGACAGCCTTGTCGCCGCAGCAGCTGCTGTTGGCACCGTTCAGGTAATGAACTTGAATTTTAAGACCAATTTTGTTTCAAAAAGACATTTCATTTTTTTGTCTTATTATAATTAGTGTTTTTTTTTCTTCGCTTGGATGCTCTTAAAGTTTCAAATAATTTTCACATTGTAATATGTTAAATTATACTATTTATTATTAAAATATCTACAGGGTTATGGCATCTAAATTTGGCAAAATTATTAGAAGGCTCATGTGCAATAGGTTATTATTTTTAGCTGGATGATTTTAGGAGGAAGAAAGTAATTTATTTTCATAAAAAAATTATTTTCTGGCTATTTATAGGTGAATTTTTTTAGTTGTAATATTACTGAAATTATGTGTAATTTTACACGGTAGGTGAAATTATATATTTGTAGCTATTTGAATCTGAAAAAAGGTGAAAATTCTCTGATTAGGTGAAATGTAGGTTTTTATTTACTCCAATATAATGAAATAAGTTGTTCTAAACCTAAATTTTAACTTGGAAAAAAATTATTTTGGCTTTATTAACGTACATTTAATATTGATCTAGAGGAATAGGTCAAAGCCGTCAATTTTATTCATCCCTAAATTATAGCCATTGCAGGACTGACCTAGGCAAAATCGGGACAACTTTTTCAGTCATTCCAGTTATGTGGTTTCTCGGTAACATTAAAAATTTTGTTATTTCCATAACCAAAAGTTTTACATTGGCGTTAGAATTTTTTACTGTAGAAAGAAATTAATAAAGACTTAATGAATCAAAGTAAGTCACCAGGAAAAATTTGATTATGATTTTCTTATCCATTAATTACTTCATTCATTATCTAATTTAAAAAAATGCCTTCTTCTTTGGATACAATTTTCCATCTACTCTTCAATTTCTGCACAGAAGATCTGTCTTTTACTATGGATTAATTAATTTATTGAACTTAAAAATTTTTACCTACAAACGTTACAAACGTTAACTGGTTAGTTAAAAATATGGTCATAAATAAATCTTTTAATCAATTAGATGTTTAAAGTTTAAATTTAATAAATGAAAATAAACAACAACAAAAATATAAGAATAAACTAAATAATTCAATTTGAATATTTATTAGTATGTATTAAACTTTTAAACATTATTAAACCCTAAATTTAATAAAATAATTTACTACTCTTGTTGCTCGTTATTTAATAATTCAATCTGCATCCGATCCATCAAATAATAAAGCTATGCATTAAGTTGTTTTAATCGGAAATAAGAAATAATCCAGACTTGTCCCAACCATAAGCATTTAGTTTCTCACGGGTTAGGAACGACTTATCGGTCGTGAATGCAACACGAGAATAAGCCATAATCCGGCGTCTAACAATACAATAACTGCCTTCTTTTGGTTTGCAGGCCTCTCTGGGCAGCGGTGGCCGAGGCGGCGTGTGGGAAGTGCGCGGCGGCGGCGGGGGCCGCGGCAGGCGGTCGACGCACGCGCAGCCGCCGCTGGAAATGGTGACCGAGACGGTGTTCTCAACGGAGGTGCGTTCGATCAGGCGAGTGTCGGACGCGTCGAGGTTCAGAGCCGGCGGCCAGCAGCAGCAGCAGCCGGTCGTGTACGAGGCGCCAACCACCCCTGGGGCGGCTGAGGTGGTCGTCTTTGACGACATCGGCGACTGTCTCGAACAGCCGCAGCACCACAGCCGAGCGCACCAGAGCAGCCGCCACCACGAAGACGACTCAGGCTCCAGCTCCACCGGCCGGGACACTCCGCCGGCTTATCACAGGCCACCGGCAGACTTTTTCAAGGTCAGATTTACAACTTTTTACAGTATCATCTCATTTTTTAACCCTTTTTTCTAAAATTATTGCTTTCGAGCCTAATAATTATTCAGAATTGTAAATAATTTATCTTTTGGCCGTTTTTCAGTTCTTTAACTAAAGCCAAAAATTAAAAATTGTCCAACTCAGTGATCATTAAATCCTTTATTTTGGTAAAATTACTGGATTTTTCAATGAAGATTGTTAAAGTCTTTAAATCTTCATGGTCATTTGTTGTTATACAGTTCAAAAAATTTTAAATCTTGATTTAATTTATATTAAGTTTAATGTAAATCAAGTATTTTACACAATAATTTTTAATTTTTTACATATATATTATACATTGTAAAATTAAATTAGTTAATTAATCTATATTTATTATGATTATTTAATTTTTATTTTCAAACACATTATTTTGAAATTAAAATGTTAAAATCTATTAAATAATAATTTTATAAATAAATATTTCCACGAGCATATTGTTAGTTATAATAAGTCGAAACTTTGAAGAATATTTGCTCGCCTTGATTAGTCTTTTTTGTTATTATGATTATTCTTTAAATGCTGTGAATGTTATTGTGTCAGAACCTTCAAAGTGAAGTTGAGAAATACAACGATCAACCATGAATCAAACCCAAATTTCTTGGCAATTAATATTTCAAAGAGTATAATAACTATTTTAAGCCAAAAGTGTCTGCTTTTGTCTACCAGACAGAAAATCACGCGTTTCACTTTTGAAACTAGACACTTAAACCGCAAACCAGCTCTCGATCACCTTTTTTTGAGCGCCATCCTACAACTTTCGCCGCGCGCCGGCAAGTGTCAGCGGTTTATTTACTCGGCGAACGTGTGCTCGATAAACACACCCAGTCACACACTGCCGCCTGTATAGATGCAATTAATGAGCGAGCAAGTCAGCAAGTAAGCAATCACCGAATCAAAGCCGGAATCACGCGGTGCAAATATTTGAGCCGCTGGTTGGCGAAGCGATTTGCTGTCTCGAGTGAGAAAAGAAATTAAGAGGAAAAAGATCACGTGATGTAGTGCTCGAGCAGTTTTTTTCCTCCTGTATGGCGTGTCCGAAAAATATGATTCGCGTGTGGGCCGCCGTTTTTATTGATTTTTGCATTGTGCCCGCAAAACACCGCATTCCATACTCTTTCTACACCACAGTACCAAACACAAAGAGGGGCCGATGTCAATTTCGGTCAAAATCTGGGCCATTGGTCGGTGACGTCCTTTGTGCCATTGTGAGATAGGGCCGTCCTTTGAGAAACAAACACGCGGTTTTTGCCCAAGAAAACGACGAATTCGCATCTCGCTGTCGGTGATGGAGACGGACTGGCTAACTAGCTTTTTCGCCAGCATCGTCGCTGCCGGAGAAAGAAAACAGGCAATCGAATTTGTTTCCCCCGCCTTCACTCTGGCTAGTAGTGGTATTGTGGGGACTGAGTCCCCTTTTTAATTGCTTTGACCTTGACCCCAGCTTGACCTTGACCACCCTGACCTACCCCACCCTGACCCTGACCTACCCCACCCTGACCCTGACCTACCCCACTATGATCTTGACCTACCATGCCCTGACCTTGATAATTGACCTTGATTGCATAATGATTCACGCATCAAATTTATTATTTCGCAATAACTAATTACCCCCGCCACTTTACTGGCATTGCAAAATTGAAATTAACCCATTTCATGCAATCACCAGTGTCGTGACGTAACTTTCCCTTTGAGAGAGTCAAATGCTGACCTAATTTCGAAAGATGATCATCAAATTTTAGTTTCGCAATAACTTATTACCCCCGCCACTTTAGTGGCATTGCACAATTGAAATTAACCCATATCATGCAGTCACCAGTGACGTCACATCGTGACGTAACTTTCCCTCCGGCGACAGAGTCGGCGACAGAGTCGACTCCTTCCTGACCTACTTTCGAAATGTGCTCATCAATTTTCTCCGTGAGAGATGGAGCCAAACCGTCCTATAATAAAAATTGAATTAGCTCGTGCGCAGTGAAAGAGAGAACGGTCAGCAGCACACGTGGCCCGCCGCTGCCGCCCGAGCGAGAGCGAAAGAGCGTCAGCTCTTTCGATCATAAGGTCTTGGTTGATTTAAGGTATAAAAGGATTGTTTTAAACCCGTTTGGAGTCAGTTCACAGATAGCAATGCCTTTTAAATTCAGAGTTCCTTTTGGATTAATGATCTGCGGCCCCTCCCAATCGGGAAAATCGCAGATTGTTTTGAATATCTTACGCAATTTAAATGAAATGACAGATAAAAAAATTGACGAAGTTGTTTATTGCTATTCGATTTATCAAAAAGCATTTGACGAATTTAAAAAAGTTAAAAAAATAAAATTTCACAAAGGAATTATTGATAATTTAGAAGAAAGCCCAAATTGTAAAAGACTTATCATAATTGATGATATGCTTGATTTTGCACAGAAAAATGAAATTGTATCACTTTTGTTTACCAAGTATATCCATCATCACAATATGAGTGTAATATTTATTTCGCAAAATCTTTTTGCAAATGGAAGCAATATTAGAACTACAAGTTTAAATTCAACCTATATGATTCTAACGAACAATGTGCGTGACAGGCAACAAATCCGTACCCTGGGGCTGCAAATGATGCCTGATAAATACAAATTCTTTATGAGTGCCTGTAACCGAGCAATGAGCTGTCCTTATGGGTTCATATTAATTGATTATCATCAAAAAACACATCCTTTATGCCGCCTTGTTTCTAATATTTTTGAAGATTGCCCACGTGTTTTTGTTGAAGAGAATATAAATACAGGGGACATGATATCACTTGACACTTACAATGAGCACTTCGCGCATTGAGCACCTCATTGAATTATTGAATTCTGATAATATTAAAGATAAAGTTAGATTTTTCGAACTTGCTTCTCGTAGCGAAATCGACGCCGTCTGTGAAGTTGCTGTTAATTTATTAGCAGGAACCTTTGAAATTGATTCAGGTGAAAAGGAGTGTTTGAGGAAATACCAAAGCTTAATAAGAGATCTAGCATCTAAAGGTTGTTGGGAGAGGAAGAAAAAAACAATAATTAAATACGGTTCTGGATTTTTAACTCATTTTCTTCTTCCTATTGTTACACGTTTGATTGTTGAAGTTTTAAAAAGCCAAATATGAACCAAAGTAAAGACATGTATTTGATTAGTCGGGAACAACTCCAATCACTTCTACCGTCAGACGATAAAAAAATCAAAACTCAATTGGGTAAAATTGCAAAAAGTAAATCAATGTCAAAAAGAGAAAAATTTCAGAATTACAATAATGTTTACCAACGCCATTTGGAGGAAAGTGAAAGAAGAAGAAGACCATTAATTATTACAAAATTTAGCAATGTTGAAAAACCTAGAGAAGCTAATAATGATGATATGTCTGATGATGACTTTCAAAGTACTCATTCTAATGAAAGCCAACAAATTTCAATGGATGATACAAGAACTAATATTTTTGAAATTGTTCCTCAGTCTTATAGGAATAAAGCAATTAATTTGTTTAATGATGTGATTACTCAATCGAATGAAATTAAGTATGATGATAATTATGTATACATAAATGGGAGACAAATAGGGGAAAGTAGTATTGCTGAATTCTTAAAAGAGTATGTTAGCAAAAAATCTATCAAGAACTTGCCTGGTTTTAAAAATTTTGAGCAGGCCATGGAAAAAGAAACCAATAAAGAACATTACAATTCGAGTCAATCTACATTCAGTGATCAAGAAGGTTACGGAGAAGAACTTACACGTACTTTTGAATTTGAACCGCATTACTCAAGCATAAACGATTATAACTGGATTAATTATCGCTATTAAAAATGAATAGGGATTTAACCAGAGCTTATTTTGATCCTCACAGTTCTACGTCTTTTACCTCAGCAAACCAACTGATTAAAAAGTTTAAAGATCATTACAAAATGGAGGATATTAAAAAATGGCTCCACAAGAAAAAATCGTACACAATGTTTTATCCGAGAAATAAAAAATTTAAAACCAATTACATGTTTGTTCCTCAAAAGAATTACTGGCTTTTTGCGGATTTGGCAGACATGAGTAAAATATCTAGGTTTAACCAGGGTACAAAGTTTTTACTTTGTGTGATTGATGGATTTACAAGGATGGGATATGTTGTCCCGATTAAATCGAAAAAACCAGAGGAAGTTATAAGGGCAACCAAGTTAGTGTTTAAAAGAGCAAAATCACCCGGATTGTATTGGTACACAGATGCTGGAGGCGAGTTTACTGCAAAGATTTACCAGAAATTTATGAAAGAAAATGGCGTAAAATTAATATTTGCTAGGAGCGAGAAAAAAAGTTTTTTGGCGGAAAATTTCATTTTGCATTTGAAAAAACGAATCTATCGTTACATGGCTCACGCGGATACTAAAACTTATATTGATATGCTTGATTCCATTGTTAATGCATACAATAATACAGAGCAAAAGGCAACCAAATTTGCACCAATTAAAATCAAATCAAAGGCAGATCAAAAGCAGGTTTTTATCAACCTCTATAAAAACAAGTTAGAAATGAAAAGAAAAGCCCCTAAATTTAAAATTGGTGATTTCGTAAGACTTTCAATTATTAAACAGACATTTGAAAAAGGATACACTCGTAATTTCAGTGATGAGATTTTCCAAGTTGATAAAATTGTATATAAACGATACATTCCCATGTATGAAGTCAAAGACTCTAAAGGAGTGGTAATTGAAGGATTGATGTACCCCAATGAAATGGTTTTAGTCCTTGAAGATTAAAAAATGTCACAATACGTCTATTTGATAAGTAACACGTGCAAAGAAATTTTTCCCGGTAACAAGGCAAACGATTTCACAGCGTGCCTAGCAAGAAGTTTGGATCTGTCAAGTAATTACACTGTTGCAGCAGTTTCCGTTATTTTACCACCCATTGATGAAAAGGAAACGTCTTCAGTTGCCTATATATATTGCGAT